GAAAACCAGGTCTTCAAGAGTCAAGGGGATGAATCCTTTTAGAGTTTTTATCTACACTATGAGTCCTACCTATGAGCAAAGTATGAGCTCACCCGGAGGGTATCAGTTGGTGAGGTTCCCTCGTTAGTTTTATCTAACCATGCATATAATAAGTTGTTATTTTGGTGTAAAATGTTTTTTAACTCTTCTTTTCTTGGTCAACCAGTGCTATTTGAATTCAGAATCAAACACACGAATGATATTTAAGGATACCACGTCTTCATTTTTCCAACAATTTTCGATTTTGAGTTTCACATGACTTAATGCAGAGGAAAGTCTAGGGTTAAAAACTGAGATCACTCTGCTAGTGTGTCACGATCTTCCTTAAAAATATTATGAAATTTTTTAAGTTTTTATTCGAAAGCACAATGAATCTTAAGTTTCTACGTTCGCAAATTTTTCCCATCTTTTCGATGTATTCAAAATTTTTTATGATACAGTAGATAGTCTGATATAAGAACGTGTTCTCTTCACAACGAGACATTTTTCAAAATTTTCGAATGATTTGCGTAGAGATATAAGCATCGACACAAGTGCCCTGAAACAGTGATCGACATACAAAATGTGTTCTTTCACTAATCTGTCTAATCTGGTTACATTACCATCCTGATTTTATACTAACGATGTTTATCTTGCGTGGAATGAAAATTATTTTAAGGCTGACCTACGCATAAGTTAATTTTATTCTTCGAATGTAAATAGAGTTTCTGTTCGTTTTTATTACATACTACTATAGGCGCCAAAATACAAGACACTCGGTTGTTTTTTGAATAACTCAACGATGACAAATGATAGAAACTTGCAGTTTTCAAAAGTTAAAAGAGGACCCCTTAAGCTATATTTCCACAAGTAAAACTCCTTTCCGGAATTATTTGAAAGATCGATTTTTCTGATGATCTTTTAAAAACCAACTCAGATCTCTAGAAACTGACATAGAAATCTCTTGACTTCTTTTTACAAATAGGTAGTCTAAAGTGTCCTCTCTAAACTGAGAACTAAGTGAACTTTTAATTTTTGCCGGTTCAGGCGTGGCATCGGATTTCTTGAGAGTCCCAAGATCAATATTTCTTTAGGTGTAGTAATTCCGAAAACGGATGGAAACATAGACAATCGACCACGCTGAAACTCATGGCCACATTTGTTTTTCAAATAAGTTCCAGAAACCTAGTGAAAACCCATATTAAGTGAAATGATTGATTTTTGCCTATTTCTGAGAAAAACTAAAAAATTCATAAACTAGCCGAGATCCATCCAAATTATGCCAGAATATCAAGATCTACTATGTTTTACCTGCAATTCAATGTTTACTATGCAATTACTATGCAATTCAATAAAGAAGAGAAATAAGAAGAGGACGGTGAACTAATATAAAAGACTATAGTCAGTACAAGAGTGACTAAGTGACGAAGAAATAAAAAAAACAACGAATATAACTGTGCACATGGTTAGCGGTGACAGAGGAGTCCGCTAACAATACCGTTATTCACAGAATCTTACATTTACCTCAGATAATACGAACACCGTTGATGTAAATAAAGTTTACGTCCATCAGAACGTGAACGTGCTTTAGCGTTCACGTTCAAGGAGCGAAACGTGAACTTTTACAGGCCTAATTCGAGCTCAATCGGATCTTTGCTTCCACATTTGCCACGACGGTGAAAACAGGGGGAGAGAGAGTGTCCTTACACACAACAAGTCATACCTCATATCATCATCATCCCATCGTCCGAAACAAAGATCAATACCACCAATAAATGCAACTTTTTGATCAATAACAACAAATTTTTCATGATGAACCCATATTAAGGATTCGCCAGAAATCGTTGTGTGATCAGGATGACGAATTACCTGTAAATAACACTATTGACAGATACAAAAACGAAACGTGCGAACAAACACATACTTTAATGTTTTTCTTATTTTTTGCAGTTAAAGCACGTTTTGTATGTAAACTATTTAAAGGTAAACTAAATGGTAATTCTTTAAATACTAGAATGTAGATACGAACGCCTTCATTCTGAAAGAAAAGTTGTTTTAGATTTAAAAATACAACAAACAGAGCCATCACATACCGCTTTTTTTTCAAGAATATTATCTATTCGAAATGATTGATCATCATTTGTTGATCGTATGAGATTCAATTCTGGCGATAACCACCAACTTGCAATAAATATTTCTTCTTTAGCAGCTAACATTGCTTTTGCTACTGATTCCATATATCCTTTTCCATTAAGGAACCTATAATTATAAAATAAATTGTATAAACAACAAACAATAAATTTCTTCTGAAATAAATAATGAGATAAATTTTAAGATATTACTAGATTTTTAGTAAAAAATCCTTTAAGAAATTTTGAAACTAGACTCTTGAGTAAAAATCACTTATCACAGAAGTTTGGAGACATGTATACGGTCTATAATCATAATAATTTAACTTCTACTACATATACAGCCTTGTATTAAGGATGACCTTCTATTCTGGGGAGGGAGTTACTCTTATGTGCATGCTATACACACCATGTGTGATGGTATAAAAAAAATTGTTTATTTTCACTTTAAGACTTTCAAACTCTTAAACCTATACGTCATGATAATAAACCGTAGCTCACTCTGAGCTACACTCCCCACCCCTCCCTCTATCTCACTTGCATTCTTTTGTTATTTGGATAATCAAGTATATATTCGCTTGCCCCGCACAATGGAAAGAGCACTGAAAATTCCGGATATCTCTTAAAAATCTGAAAATCCTAAAGTTTAAATTCTTTTAGCTGTTCTCTGGCCTGCTTGATACTTAATTCTTTCAATCTCTATACTATTATTTCACTATTTCTTTAAATTTTTGTTTTTTTCAATCCTTAAACTCTTATTTCCTTTACTTTTATAATCTGAATCTTAGATACTTACATTTCAGTACTCAGACTGACATCAGAGTTGCTAGGCGCAATATTATCTATTGTCCATCCAAAAAAAGAATGGTATATGACTGTTTTTTGAATAACTTTCGATAGGAAAAAGCTAAAGAGCTTCAATTTTCACCATTCGAAAGAGGAGATTTGGGGACATGTTTTCATA